AATAGTGAGGATGGATCTCCTTGACGTGCTGACCAATGCCGCTAAAGGATGTCACATCGGAAGCCACATACCGGACAGCAGTAGATAGGTTGTTGGGAAGGATGGAGGGAAGAACGGGTGGAAGGGGAAAGAGCCTATGATTTGCTGGCTGGGCCCTTTCCTGAGCGAAGCCATGCTCTTGGGGATTTTGACCACAGGTCGACGTGGGAGATTAGCGGTCGGAACACCGTGTTTCTTCTTACCGTCCGATCGGCCGGGGGCCTTTCCCTTCCCATTAACCTTCACCGTCTTCTTCGTCGGACTGGACGAAACCATTCCGGCGCTGTTCGAAGACTTCTTCGCCGGACTTGACGAAAGCACCGGGCTGTCGCTGTCTGAATTCGCCGCTGGACTTGGCGAAACCATCCGTGCGTTGCTTGGCCCGGCGATCGGATGGATGTCGGCGGGTCGGTGGCGGGCGTTTGTGGGGCTGATGCCCTCGGGAATGAAGAGCCCTTCGCGAGTGAATGCGATGATCCGGGTAGGGCTCTGTTGGTTGCGGTCAGCGACAACCGACGAGGTGGAGGCAGTGTCCATCGACCCGTCGCTCTCAGGACTCGAGTAAGATTCAGTCCGGAGCGCTAAGTCGGTTGTTGGGGACAGCGGCTCAATATTGCGGAGCCACCTTGAGATCGGAGTCATGGGTGGTTCATGACTCGTCGCGCCTGGCAGTGGGATATCGCTCAGGTTAAGGTGCGACAGATCTATTTGCTCCCGTCTAGCTGGGCGAAGCTGCTCAGTTGCTGGAGGGATTTCCCTTGGCAGCTGCCGACGAGCATTCATATAGGCATCGCGGCTCTGTTGGTCGGTGAGAGGCCCATGGGGGTCGAGGGGGCTGGAAGGTGTTGATGACATGGTAGAGGGGGTAAGAAGGTTATGGGGATGTGATAGTATTATGTAGCGGGTGGGGGTGGATTAGGGGTCTTCTTCGTTGTTGGGTGTTGGTAAACAACAGGGGCTGCTCTAGTAATTTATTGATAATATCAGCTGTGGCTTTGTGGAGAGATGCCTGGCGATGGAGGAAGAGAGCGGGCTAGGAGGGGGAAGAATGATGGGTTTTTATGCTCAAAATGTCCACCGGCTCTGTCTGTTTACGCAGTGTAAGACGAGCGCTCTATGCCTGGGTAGCTCATAGACGAGTGGAGAGACTGTGTGGACCACAAAGCTTCCGCTAGCCGTTTTTCTTTCTGCAGCGAAGACTTTTAGTATTGGTCGAAAACATACCCGGTATGGCGGCGTAATGTAAGTATGTTAAGCTACTTACTCTCCTCTGGTTTGCAGTGTAAGGCTATTTTCTAAGTAGCTCATAAACAAGTAGAGAAACTAAGAGGACTGCGAAGTTTCCGCTAGCCGTTTTTCTTTCTGCAGCGAAGACTTTTGAAGGACACCGAAAACGCGTCTAAGATGGTGGTGCACGACGGAGTGATGTATGTTGAGCTCTTTACGCTCCGATGTGTACTTCCTTCATGATGGGGTGTGTCATTGCGTACATCTTTTGCTCAGGCTCGCCAGCAGTCTCTTCATATCTGACCCGGGAAGACTCAGTCAATCTAAGGAGCTCATTCCCTTGAGAACAAGTGTGTGCTGCAATCAATTATTCATGATGAGAGCAAGGTGCTTGTTTCAGTTACCGGAGTACTCAAACTCGGATGACAGTGTTGGTCAATTGGGGTTATAAACTCGGATGACTGTGTTGGCCAATTGGGGTTATATTGGGCCATGAAATATCAAGACATTGTAGGAAGCTCAGTAGATGGACTCTTAATCAGGCGCTCTCTCTTCATTCTATGAGAGGCTCTTCTTGCCATCAAAGAAGAATATCCGACATGACGAGCGAGAGGAGTGGGACTCAGGGGCACGCGGGACGTGGAAAGTTTTCAATCAAAGAAGTTCGTAGATTTATTTCAAGAGTTAAAATAAGTTAGACTATCTTCTAATTAGATTGGGTCTTGAGGGCAATACAGACAGCGACAATTATTTAGCAGACATTAGTATGAGGAAGAACACGAGAAGAAAGTATCAACCAGGAAAGATTTTACCAGTAGTGCCATGCGAGGGCAGAGCCTACTTGTTAG